GTTTACATTCCTGAAGCAGCAATTAAATGAAAATGTTTTATACATAACATGTGAACACATGTTCACGGTTGAAGGAGCAAATAAAACATTTTTTTCACGTGTAGGACTTTAAAACCCAAAAGAGTCTACAGGATCATCTAAAAAAAGCTGTCCTAATTGTAAAAACAAAGTAATTGTAAAAAAAAGTTGTTTTGTTGATTTGTTTTTTTTTTTTAACTAATTGCATATTAAATGTTTCATGGAAAACAAAAATAACACTTGACATAGGATTTCCAGAGCACTATGAGTTAGTTAACAAGACAGCACAGCAGTAGTAGCCTACCTCCAGGATAGTTTTGTCTTACTGAAATCTCGAATTGTAATGCACATATGTTAATGTCACAGTCAGGTAAGAACTGTGGCACACCCCAGGGCTTTGAGGACTTGCTCAAGCCTTAGCAGATATTTCCTCTTGGTTCTTATAGAGAAAAACCTGGCACCTGCCATCCTTATTCTGCACACTGCAAGCTATCACTAACTTGCAAGAAAACCATACCCCATGCATCAAAATAATGCTTCTATTGGAAATTATGTGCAAATGGATTTATGGTGAGGCACAACCTCACTATTCAAGACTGCTTTGCAGAGTGCTGTCAGAACATGCTTCCTTCCCTTATGATCTAGTCAGAGGCTGCACTGAGTTATTAACTAAATGTTATTGCCTAAAATGAATCTGAAGCAAAACCTGTTTTTTTTTTAATAGTAGTGGGAAGGGTTAGTACCCCTGTCATGTTATGAACAGAAACCAATGGGAAATCTACTGAAAAATGGTACAGTTGTCACTGGAAGAGAAGGCAAAATATTGCAGGGGGCATCTGTTATAGTGACTAAGGATACACTGATACCGGTTTTTCGGTATCGAGCATGGATATTTTTTTTGTGGTACTCGCAGATACCAAATACCGATACAGGAAGTCCCATTAAGGAAACGTGTAATGACTAGCCGCCCAGCTTCCCGATTAGCCGGGAAGCCAGCTCCATGCTCCCTCGTCACCAAGTGACGAGGAAGCATGGAGTCGGTTATCTGGCCAATCAGGAAGCCAAGGTTGGATAATGACTCGCCGCCCATCTTCCTGATTGGCAAGCTTCCCGACCAATGAGGAAGCTGGGTGGTAAGTCATTACACGCCGCCCAGCTTCCTGATTGGCTAGGAAGCTGGCTCCATACTTCCTCGTCAACAAGTGATGAGGAAGCATGGAGCCGGCTTCTCAGCCAATCAGGAAACTGTGGGGCGAGTCATTACCCACCCCTCGTCTTCCTGATTGGCTAGGAAGCCAGCTCCATGCTGTGCCATGCTAATGTACATATCATGCGTTAACGTACAACCAAAGGTGTATTTTGACTCTAATGCAGGTAACACAGGTTTTTTAGTTGTATGCCCAGAGCTCATGTGTGTAGATCCTTAAGGCTACAATTCATGTGTGTGTGAGAGGTGTGGTGCATTTTCCTGCTTTAGGGCCCATTCACACTCACACATACACAGAATTGCATCAAACACAGTGTGCATCAAGGGGGGAGGGTGCTTGTAGTCAAAGCAACAGATGGCGCCCTGCAATCCTGTTCATAGCAATAGGAATAGTCACCAGCACTTCATGCAAGGACAAAAGAATCAATGTAGCGTCACATGGGTCATATAGCCAATGTTTCCGTGCCATGCAGTGTCCCTTCCTCAAGGCAAAACAGTGACGACTTGCTGAAGGGACCCTGCATGGCCCTGAAACATTGGCTATATTCTCTATGAAAGGTGCGTTTTGATAAAAGCAGCACCAAAGATGCCGCAAGCAGGGTTTTTTTTTTCAAAGGTGTCTATGTACTAAACAGTGCAAAGTTTTCTTTTTTTCTTTCAGGTATTATTCAAACAGCTTATATAAAAAAAAGCAGTCAGCACATTGAGAATAAAATACTAAATAAAGAAACCCCCCTCGTGCTTTGCTTATAGCAATGACTCAAACAAAGAATTGAAAATTAATCGCTGTGTATGATATGTCTCTCAGTATTTTATTACATTACCATACACTGTATATAACAGTGAAATGACTACAATACCAGAGCATTAAACACAATGAAATAAAGCAGAACTCTGAGAACCCTGCAGAACTCGCAGAGGCTTACGGCAAATATGAACACGTGTGGCTCAGATTTATGCACTTACATATTATCTGTGAGCTGCTACTCCTGCTGATTGCTGTTAATATTTAAATAGTGCAAATGTGCCAGGAGGAAGAGCGGAGTAATAAGTGGAATTTGGCCTCGTTTAATCTGCACTTGGCTCACAGTTTAGCTATACAATTATTACCCCAATAATCACACCTCCCAGAGTGCGCCTGAGCACACAAACAGATGAACAGCTCAGCAGATAAAACACCACAGCTACTAGATTTCGGACTGATCACACTAGGAACATTTCCGCTCTGCAAATATATATTACCTACATGTACATAGAGGTAGGCCTACATTCAGAATAAACACACTTTTTGCAAGCATCTCCTTTTTATATAAATCCTTTTTTTACAATTCAGCCGGCCCTAGGATGATCTTATACCAGTGGTATCGGTGCATCCCTTATATACCGTATTTTTCGATCCATAAGACGCACTTTTTCCCCCAAAAAAGTAGGGGGAAAATGTGCCTGTCTCTTATGGAGCGAATCCCGACGCCCGAGAAATGCAGTTTCGGGCGCCAGGCGAGTAGTTTTTTGTACATTTAGCCCTGCTAAAGCAGAGCTAAATGTACAGTAGGAGCCACTGCTCGTTTAATACAAGTGATCTGATTAGATCACTTGTATTAAAACCGAGCAGCGGCGACTGCGATCACCATAGAGCAGACGAAGAACGGACGTTCTTCGTCTGCTTTGTGTGATCAGAGACCGTGGCACTGTAATCACAGCGCCACCTGTCTCAGCGATCAATAACTGCAGCTTCTGTCACAGAAGCTGTGACAGAAGCTACGGTCTGTCGAGTGCTCCATAAGGCGCACCGGACCTCCCTGCGTCCTATGGTCCAGTGCGTCTTATGGAAAGCAAAATATGGTATATTTATAAAAACAAAACCATACATTAAAACAGAGATGTGCAAGTCCTAGGAGAACCGTGTGCTCCTTACAAATGACAGCTGCCTCACAACTTTTTAATTTTTCTCTGGTCTGGTCTTGGAGATCAAAAAGTATCTGTACTTGTACCGAGTACTGTACTTGGTATCGGTGCATCCCTACTGAAAACTTAAAACTGTCACAAGTAATCTCTCAACCAGTGGCACTGCTTGCAAACGTTGGACTGTGTTTGGCCCTCCATGGACCAAGAACTATGATTATCTATTCAGTTGTTGATTAAATGGGTGTCAAACAGGCTATTTTGGGACAAGCTAGCTGATAAGCACATCATATGCGAGATGAAAAAACCTGACAATTGTACATTTATGACCAATTCTCACCTGAATGTATAGGAAGTGATGGAAAATCTGCAACAGTGACCCACAACAGACATTAATAAAAAAAAAGCTGACAGTGGTTTTAACTTCTCCCTACCTTACTTATAAAAGAAAAAAGCATTTTTATTTCTTACTTCCTGTCTGGTGACTCTGTTGTTTTAGTCACTGGGACAGTAAATTAGGGAAAATCTCTAAAAAACTGAGACCCTAATATCAGTAAAACCTGGTAGCAGGTCAAGCCTTTTCACACTCTATCCTAAACTAAGAAATAAGTTTACCCCAGAGAACACATACCAATAAGTACCAGTGCTCCTATTACAGTACTTAATATATCTAGTTTAAAGAAGCTAATATGTGAGATCTAGGCAGATATACAGCACACATGTCCAAACAAAGCACATACTTATCTGTCCAGGGACAAGTGGATTACGAACTCTTCAGGACAATGAATGGAGATGGTGGAATGCATGGGTGGGTAAGGTAAAATGCTGTGGAGCGCTGAGCAGGCTGCACAGCGAAGATCTCGGTGCAGTGCGGACCAGTAATTGAGGTTACTGGGAGAGGGTAACTGAGGCGCCTAAAATGGACTTACATGTAAATGTGTTTTTATGGGCACTGAATACTTTATAAATTCTATTTTTTACTGATCTATTACACAAATATTAATTTAGGTAAAGGATCACCGATCCAAAAAGTGGCACCCATAAGCCTCAAGACTGATGTAATGCTTACGAAGGGCGTGAATGTGAGAATTTTTATTTAATTTTTTTTTTATTACAGACATTTATATAGCACCAACTTTTTACACAACACTTTACACACTGTACATTCAAATGAGTTCCTGCTCTCAAGGAGTTCACGAACGAGGGCCCTTCCTCAGCTACAAATACTACAGCCAATTTAAACAGAATCCAATTAACCTACCAGCATATCTTTGAATTGTGAGAAGAAACTGGAGTCTCCAGGTGAAACCCAAGCAATCAAACAGAGAACATGCAATCTCCATGAAGATAGTGTCCTGGAGATTCAAGCCAATACCCCAGTGCTGCAAGGCAGATGTGCTTACCACTAAGCTACAGGGCTGCCTGGAAAAACTGTTAATGTTGATTTCTTAAAAATCTCTGGTCACAAGCATACAAACAAATAGATTTCACACCTGTGCCTGTAAAAAAGAAGCAGATTATTGGTTTGTGAGATACCTACCTTCTTTTTCGGCAGCTTTCCCTTTTGGGCTACTAATTGTCTCTTGCTCTGTGTCAGGGAGCAGATGACATGGAGGTTGTTTAGCTGGGGTTTGTCCATCCAGGGCAGACTCATGAGCCTTGGTAATCTGCTCTTGGTAAAGGGCCAAAGGATGATGAGGTTTCATAGAAGCATTTAGAGGAACTGCATCTGAAATGCTTTCTGAGATCTGAAAAATAATAGATATTAAGGAATCCAGTCTGATGGAAAAAAAAAATCAGCATTTTTATTTAAAATAAGGAGATGAACACTAAAAATAGCCATGTACCATACAGACTGTACCCTCCCTCTATGCTGAAACATAAATAATGACAGTACAGTTTACAGAAAGGAGAATTGAGAAAGCTCCGATTGTATTTATGACCTGCTCTGCTATGACATGATAAGGAGAATGAATGCCCACACACGGTTTATTTGACTGTCAGATTCATGGGGAACTCATGATTAGTAATAATGGGACAAGCTAGCTTAGCTAAGAACACTAGCAACTATATATAAGACTTGTGTAAATTGGGATAATAATACAAATTTGTATGCCAAATGAACCATGGTGTAAGTGCGTGTGCATGTATACCACATGTAAGGATAAACATATATAAGGTATATAAAACTTTGTGAGTTAATAGAAATTGGTTTACATTGTTTGTAATAACTC